CACATGGCGACCCAACAGTCCGATTTCATTCAGTTCAGTTCAAACTTAGTTCTTGATGTCGGTAACCCTTTTCAGGTTCGCCTCCCTCTTTTGAGTTTTCTTAGATTTTCCGATTTGGTGGGGCAGCTATTCAATGGGGTAGTCCTATTCCTTCTCGGATCCACTACCAATGCCTCCTAGAGATTTTCACATAAGTCTTCCTTGATTAAAGACAGTCCCCGCGCTCAACCAATTCGTAAACGTCCTCCCTTGTGTAAGTGTTTGGTCATCTGTATTTTTCCAACTTCACAGAAACTAACGAAGGCGCTGTAGCGCTCATAAATGGGCAAGTGGCAGTTCTGACGCCTCCCTGGTTGTCCCACCCATCGGAACATAAACTCTGTTTTCTGCAACGAGTTCAGTTTTTACAGTGTTTTTCGTTTTTGTTTCATCCTATTGCACTGGATGACATGAAGAAACGATCAGTGACTCAGAAACAGGAAGATATCCCTTTGCTGGCATAAGCCAAATAGGTCCGCAGAACGTTCAGGAAGACTGCCAGATCTGTATCCACATGTGTAGCATTTTTCTTCCTGCAAAGTCATTTACCGTCTGTAGGTTTATTTAAACGCCGCTGTCCACAATATGATCGCGGGGTTTGACTTAAAGTAATTCTCTAGTTGAATGGGGCACAGAATCGGTCAGGCGCTATGGAATTGTCGATTGTTTGGCGTTTATCCTTTGCCCGTTGTACTATGCGAAGTAGGTGCGCTACTTATCAGCCCCGAAATCACCTTCGAGCTAGTCACAACTATTATTGGACTGTTCATTTTATGCCATCTAAGTCGAAATAGCTCAATGCATACTTCTAGTTAGCGACAACCCGAAACGCACATTCCATGCTAACTTTGTCACAACTGTGAACGCAGAACTCGTTAGATTTGGGGAGCTCCAGGTTCGTTTTTTTTTCTTCATATTGGGCGCTTTCTCCCTGTCATGTTCATCTCACATACAGGCCCACCGTAGAATATTGGGACTTATTGGTGTGGCATGTGCTCAGTCGCCGACATCTGCTGGTGCGGTTAGGAGAACGGTAGTATATCATTTTCAGTGAATTTCCCTTCTTATTTCCCTATGAAAGATTAGATGTTAGGTATCTTCGTCACTTGATGATGCTACGCAAGCCCATATTGTTGAGCGTCGACGCTCATCACTAAGCTCCGGCTCAACTTTGGAAGAACTTAAGAGTAACTACGAGAAAGTGAAAGTTAGTGTCGTTATATGTCATCTTTTATTTTCCCCAGTATATCTGATGTTTAAACTAGTTGAACGTTAGGATTCCTGAGAAACTGAACACTTCCTGTTTTCAATTTCAGAACGATTACGCAGCCACACTCGTTGATAGTCGTTGTATCTTGCTAGGATATGATGAGGTATGATTTTATTTATTGCTCCTTGTTTCTTGATTTGGAAGATTTTGCAGTCGTGTTCGCTGTTGGTGAAGGGGCGTGGGTGACGGGATGGGTTCGGCAGGATCTATTTTCCACCCAGTGCTGAAGCGGGTAAGCGACACAACTGGTGGGACGATATGATACAGTCTTGTTGCTTTCTCACTTCAACAAGGTCTGGCGCTGCACCAAACCCATGGCACCCATCATCCGCAACGATCTAGCCAAGCGTTTTCGCAGGCAATTGAGCTTGAGAAAAACAGCCCGCGAAAACGCTCTGTACACTGGCATACGCTGGCGTTAGCGAGATCGATATCCATACTTTCCTAGTCGCTGGCATACGCTGGAACGATATCCATACTTTCCTAGGAGTCCACCTTGCGTGTGCCCCAGCTTTTTTCGCAAAGCAATTTGAGCCTGAGAAGAAAACGCTGCTGTACACTGGCATACGCTGATCGACAACCATACTTTTCCAGTCGCTGGCATACACTGGAGACGCTAGTTCGATATCCGTACTTTCCTAGTCGCTGGCGCTGACGCAAAGTATGAGCGCAGCCTGATTTAGAATATTCAGCGCGCAGCGGCTATGTTGTATGTCTAGGCTAATGTTGCACTATGAATCTCGTGGAAACATTTTGACTTCAGTGCAACTTTCGTCGCTAATAATTCATAGCTCGAGCGTTATTCATGCTCATCATGGTTTCCGTAGTGTCTGCTTATAACCTAAAGTTGAACATTCTCTGAGTACTTAAAAACTCTCGTTTGCAGCAAGATGTAGCGGCTCATTTTTCACCTCGAGAGATATTTCTCTTCAATAGAATAGAGGAATCAGATGAACTAGAGACGGGTATTCGAGAGTTCATGCGTGCTATTTATTTCGTTGTTGGAAAGTAAACGCCTTGATCAGTCGTTTGAAAAGCTGGTTAGTTGTTTTTTTGCATTTAGAAAAACTTTGCTTCTTTCGGAAATCGTTGCAAGCACTTACGTTGCAGGGAGGAGCTGAAGAGAGGTGGTAGATTCCGGAGGTAGCAAAATACGGAACTTTGAGTATCTTAATGGGGATTATTAGAGGGGGTCTCGCATACGCCACGTAAGGTTGCGTTCAGTCCTCGCACGACGCGCGTCGGTGCGCTGTAACGCGCTGCAATTGCAGCAGCGCTCTAGTCCTTCAGACGCGACTGCAGCCGAGGGAAATTGGTCGGCGCCGGTGTCTCGTGCGTTGAGAGAGTATGGGAAAGAGGACGGCACGCGTTGCCTCATTACGAAGTTTCGTATTGATCATCGCTGGCTGCTTGGTGAGAGTGTGAAAGAATGGGAGAATATCAGACTATGTGAATGTGGGCGCTGTCCTCCTGTTGTCCTAGGCTCTCACAACGCAAACGGCCGGCGCCGATCAGTTCCCTTCTGCGGCTGCATTAATCATCCGTCTACAGGATTGAAGCGAACTGAATTGTAGCTGGCCACAGCGCATCGTCGCGCGTCATCGCGTAGTATGAACGCTGCCTAAGCCGAAATGTCCATGAAAATGGCTCGCATTCCTTATCACCTTACTGTG